TCTTTCCCCACCTGCTGTGGGGTCACCTGAAGGAAATCAGAATCTTTGGTACATCTGGAGGTTACAGGGATGGTCTGCATTCCCCCTGATTCATGTGAGGGCTTTGGGGAGGCTGCCACGTTTGTGCCACGTCAGTGTAGGTAGGAAGGAAAGAGACCTGGTAATGAAAATTGGGATGAAACACACATCCTTTCCAGCAAGGTGTCCCCTGTGCCAAGCATGTCAACTTCCTCCTGGAGGGCAGATTGGTGAGGTAGAAGGTTACAGGGATGGTCTGCATTCCCCCTGATTCATGTGAGGGCTTTGGGGAGGCTGCCACGTTTGTGCCACGTCAGTGTAGGTAGGAAGGAAAGAGACCTGGTAATGAAAATTGGGATGAAACACACATCCTTTCCAGCAAGGTGTCCCCTGTGCCAAGCATGTCAACTTCCTCCTGGAGGGCAGATTGGTGAGGTAGAACCTGGGTATATTTGGAGTGCGATTTATTTGCCCTCCATAGCCCAGCCTTAGAACAGAGGTGGACCCAAATGGCACCCCAGCAGCCCTCTGCCAGTATTCTCAGCCAACCTCCCCCGGCGTTCGCAGGCACCGATTCCGCACTGAGAGAGAAAGTCAGCAGGCAAATGTTCTTGCTGTTTTCCGCAGCGCCCCCTGAAAAAGTAACTACACCCCCAGTCAAACCACACAACCCCAGCCTCTTCCCAACTGAAATCCGCCTCCGGCAACGCAAAAGAGCCTAACAATGCCACCTGGTGACTCCTGTTATATTAGCAAGTATTCAGCTGGTAGATTTAGCAACTCAGCATAAAACCAAGCCAGCCCTTTCTGAGGTAAGCTCTTTGTCAGGAAGAGTGCATCTAGACTGGCAAGATTTTGCACAAAAGCAGTTGCTTTTGCGCAAAAACTTGCCAGCTGTCTACACTGGCCGCTTGAATTTTAGCAAGAAATCAGTGCTTCTTGCGCAAATACTTTCACGCTCCCGCTCAGGGATAAGCCCTCTTGCGCAAGAATACTTGCGCAAGAGGGCCAGTGTAGACAGGCACGTAAATTTTTGGCGCAAGAAAGCCCAATGGCTAAAATGGCCATCAGAGCTTTCTTGCGCAAAAGCGCGTCTAGCTTGGTACGGATGCTTTTGCACAAAAGCACTTTTTGCGCAAAAGCATCCTTGCCAATCTAGACGCTCTTTTGCGGAAATACTTTTCACGGAAAAACGTTTCCGTGAAAAGTATTTCCGCAAAATCATGCCAATCTAGACGTAGCCAAAGGGTTTTCTTTTTGTTCCATTTATACAACACCTGATGCCACAGGGCCTGGCCCGTGCTTGGGGCTGGGAAGTGCTGTGGTGATCCAAATAACGCCGGAGCTTTTTGTTCCATTTGTACAACACCTGATGCCACAGGGCCTGGCCCGTGCTTGGGGCTGGGAAGTGCTGTGGTGATCCAAATAACGCCGGAGCGCTGCAGTTGTAATTTGTGGAATAAGGGCAATTGCCCATGTTTGTGAAGTGCCGGTGACCAAATCCTCCTCCGCCCATGGGGGCCGAGTGCCGGCTACCAGCAATGCCTCAGGAAGGGAAAGAATTCTAAACATCGTATTTCCTTTTTGCTGCATCTCCATCAGTGTGGACAATTCATAAGAACATAAGAACGGCCACACTGGGTCAGACCAAAGGTCCATCCAGCCCAGTATCCTGTTTGCCAATAGTGGCCAATGCCAGGTGCCCCAGAGGGAGTGAACAGAACAGGTAATGATCAAGCGATCTCTTCTGCCATCCATC